GTTTAACTAAATAAACAAAATTTCTTCATGAGCCAATTTAGAACCAGTCACTGGAATATTATATACAAAGTATAAAATGCTGCAAATGCTGTACTGGCAAGATTACGCACGCAAAGCATAAATGAACTCCTAGTGTGCCTCATTAATATGCAGAGGTCAAGTATGTACTACTATAATAAGATATGAGAGCCTGTTTAGTTTCTCTATGCCAGGGGTAGGCAATATCAGCCATCCAGTGCCACTGCCCTGCAGCTTTTGCATGCATCCCTGCTACACACCTGGGGAAAAAAAGGCTAGATAACCTCTTTGGCATGTCGGTAAGTTTAGCACAGGCCTGGCTATTAACCATTCGTTTGTTTCAGGTGTGTTGTTGGAGGGATGCATGCAAAAGCTGCCGGACAGTGACACTAGAAGACCAACATCGCTGAATCCTGCTCTACATTTAACGATAATGCAAGAAGACTAGTAGCCTTGATTTTTTTTTTTTCTGTTTGAATTACAACCTGTCACTGTAGCTGGTGCATCATTGAAATCTATTTGTCACTTCTTACATTTACCTGGATTTGGGCAGTTGGGTTGCAAATTTCCACCCCTGAGGAATTCATGTGACTGAATGGAAGTTGCCAGAGTGCGTAAAAGCTACAATTAATTAATAAAATAAAAGAAGCCAAAAAAACTGGATAAGCTTCCAACCAAGGTGTCTATATGATAAAATATGGGGAAAAAAACAGGTCTACATTAAACTTATTATATTGAGATGATAATCAATAAGTGGATTATCTTGGATCATTAATAAAGAGCAACAACAAATCACATCCACTTTTAGCACATATTCATATTATATATGTATATCTATGATTTTTAAATGTATATCAAAACATATATATATATATATATATATATATATATATATATATATATATATATATATATATATATATATATATATATACCATGCCTATTATTCATATTTATTAGTATTCTTTAATGCCGTTCACTCAACTATCATTTTGTTTCTTTGTAATTTTGAGTAGTGTGTGTCCAGTGGGTCCACCAGTGTGGGACCAGCGGGTCGTTCTTGTCAGTACTGGACCTCGTTCAGCACAGATCGAAGAGCAATGCTCCAGAGAGTCTGATCGGCTGATAAGATCGTCATCATCATCATGGGTTAAGAAATCTCTGTGATTGCTGAGAATTAGTTCCCTCCTTATTCTCCCCTTTTCAAAGTGCAGAGCAACATCAATCGCTCACCTTTCTGAACAGCTGTATTAAACTTATTAAAGCAATCAGAGTGAATACCTCACACCTTTTTAATTTTATGTATTGATCTGAGTGGAGAGATTTTGTAGATTATTATGAACCATATTATTTCCGTAAATAGCTGAATGCCACATTAACCTCTTTGCGTGAATTAACTGTTTCAGTTTATCTTGTTTTTTCCTTTTGTTTCTAGGATCTTGCTTTAGAAGTGTTTTATTTAATAAAGACATAGCAGATATGTTTGGCTTCAGTTTATTGTGTTTTCATTTTCCACGTTGGCACGCAGGTCTTATGATCAGCTGGACTTTGGAGTTTCAGCTCCAGAGCGGAGCTCAATGTTCTCGCAGAGCAAACAGGTCAGATATTCAGAATCCTCCACCGCAAGGATATCAAAGGCTTTTCCTTCACTTGGTCAATATTTAACTGGAGTTTTCTTTTTTGGGAAATACCCTGCTGTGCTTTCTGTATCCCAGGTTTACTCCCGCAGTCCTTTCAGTTTTTCTCAGAAAGCTGCCTTAAAAACACATGTAAAAAGTGACAAAGATCATGCAGTTAGTGAGTCTTCATCAAGCAGCTGCACTGTGACTCAATTTAATGCCATTTCACGCCTTTTTCTGCTTGCTACCGGCTCTTCAGCCAGCAGTCCGCCTCAATAAATGAGTCCTCCTCCTCCTCTGGCAGGCTCCCCTGTGGGGTGTGGCCTGAGGACAGACAACGGACAATGGTGTTCCTAAATCCCAACCCCCCCAATATGCTCCCTGCATCATTACACTCCTGCTGCCCCACCCTGTTTCCTCAGTCCCCAGAGGTTTAGATCCTGAAACGAGCACACCGTGGGGAGCATCTGTTCCTCTCAGTTTTTCCTCTTCCTTTTGTCTTTGGCACCATCTCTTAGCTCTTAATTCTAACAAAACTCACCCTATCACTCACATTTATGAGCTCCCTTCTTTGTGTTTTCATGCAGGTGAGCAGGCAGAAGGAGTCAAGCCAGAGACCAGGTCCCACTGTGCAGATATCTGAGATGCTCATGACCCACCTGACAGGTCAGTGCACAACTGCAGACACTTTCAGACACATAACACGATTGGAAGCTGAGGCCGCAGGTTAATAAAGCTCACCTGGAGAGAATGTGTTGGTATTCGAGAGGGAAACCAGAGATGCTCAACGATCTTTTGGAAAGAGTTCCTCAGATTTTGACATTAGGGCTCTTGTAAGCTTTTCCATCATAAAAAAATATATAGTGGAAAACCTATTTTCTACACTCTGCTAACATGTCAGCAGATCCCAGGTATTCTGATCATGACATCTGAAATGGGAAACATCAGAGGGTATGACTATTTTATCCTAGCTGCATTGTTGCTCTTAGACAGCGACTTCTTTAGCCACATTTAGTTTTTATGATCTGGTCGACATTTGCCCCTTTTGCAATACAATACACAAAATTCCACATTATTTAGCTTAGATTTATTGGTTTGCCACAACCAATTGAAGTTTTTTACTATTTGTGTGATTGGTTAAATGGGGGGCTGCTCAGTGGTGCAGGGAGTAGCACTGCTGCCTTGCAGCAAGAAAGTTCTGGGTTCGATTCTGCAAACTTTCTGCATGGAGTTTGCATGTTCTCCCTGAGCATGCATGGGTTCTCTCCGGGTACTCCGGCTTCCTCCCACAGTCCAAAAACATGTGTGTTAGGTTATTTGGCTTCTCTAAATTCTACTTAGGTGTGAGTGTGTGCGTGAGTGGTTGTTTGTCCAGTTTGTCTCTGTGTTACCCTGTGATGGACTCGCCCATTGACAGCTGGAGATAGGCACCAGCACCCCTCACAACCCCACTTGGGATTTAAGCGTGTTAGAAGATGGATGGATGGTTAAATGGGATGAGAGACTTTGTTAGCTGCAGCAGGTTCCTGTCTGCTGGACTCCTTAGAATGCAGCTAAAACTTAACTAACACAGAGCATTGGCAGGTTTATGAAGCAGGAGAAGTTTTGAATGACTTTCTGTATCCACAAGATCAACTGGAACTCCGTTAAATTTGTTAGGAGACTTTCAACAAGTCCTTTCAACAGTAATTTTTGCTCCCTTCTTAAAAATCATCAGCCTTGCTAACTAGCACTTTGCAAGTTTCCTCTTATAATGTGAGGATTCATGTTTTGTGATCAGCTCCTTGTGTTTGAGGTTTGAAAGCCTCTTTACCATCCGACTAAAGTTAAGCTTCCTATAAAGATTTAGTATTTGAATTCCCAGCTGTAGTTTTGGATTTAGGTAGAGCAAAAGCAATATTTTAAGGTTATTAAGTTTATGAATAATTTTCAGTCTCACTCTGTGTTTATAAAGCGGATGTTTGCGTTACTTGGATACAGTCAGAATATTCATCCTATACTGAGGACTTGTATTGTGGTATTTTACAGCTTTTTAAACCGCATGTTTAATGCATATGAATCACTTTGATGATAATCAATTTCAAATTAGTGTTCATTTTAACTCTACAAAGAAACAGCTTAGTGACTTTAATCAACATCAGACAAAACGCCTTCATTGGAGCATCCCCTGCCGATCAACCGCACTTTATATTTGCAATAGATTTTCTACGTCAGTTATTTTGTCTAAAAACAAACATCCATAATGCAATGGTTTATAAATCCACTTTTGCATCAAACGCTTATTTTAGTTGACACTTCTAAGTAGGTGAACTTGATTTACTTCCCTAAAGTTAGAGAATTTTTTAAAGAACACGCTTACAGGAAAACCTCTGCACAATGATCAATTTTTTTGGCATTGTTGTCAGATTTAAGCTTGTTTTAGTAAACACATATCTATGGCATCATTTGATTGAAAAGTCCATGTCTGTAGTCATCCATGTAAAGTTACATGAAAACAAACAAAAAAGAAAAATCAGAAAAGGGGGAAAATAGTATTTTGTTTGTTTTTCATCTTTAATAACCATAAATGAGTTGCCGTTACAGTAACTGGTTAGAAATAGTGTCACTTTGTCAGAGAGCGCAGTCTCCTAATGGTTGAAGAAAAGCATATAAATTATATTTGGTTGAATTTTTGCAGTCGTTTTTAGACCTTTTGAGCAGCAGTAGCAGTTTTTTTGTATTTTTTTATAGGTGTTACAGATCATTTATCTTAATCTATTCTCCTCTTGGTATTGGAACTGGTCCTACAGCTGAATTTTTCTTCATGGTCGGTGATAAAACACATAAATATGTATAATACTGAATTTATCTCCTACAGTAGATTCATGGGCACCATATTTGTATCTCTGACTCTTTACTAAAAGGCTGAATTTAAACACCATGTTCTGCTGCTGTATTCGTCTCTCCGAGCTACAAAGGGTATTTTTATGCCTCACCCACACGTGACTGTTCAACAAGATGCTTTGATTTGACCGGCTGCACGCTCTGATGTTTCATTTTGCATCATGCAGCCCACAGCCATGTGTCACAGTTGGCTTGGACCAAACTGATTACTGATTTTGGTCCAAACGGATTTTCTCCAGTGCAGAAACGGTCTGTCCTACTTACAGAGACACCACTGCAGCCCAACCTGCTGTTTCCAGCTGGTGCTGCTTTAAAATACCCCCTCCAACCCCCAACACACTATCCCCTGCCTCCTCCTCCTCCATCTCTTCTCCTCTCCTTTCATTTCATTTCATCTCTCGTTGCTCCGCCTATGATTCCCCGCTTCGTCCCTCCCCCTGCTCTCCGAGCTGAAACCTCTGCTGCGTCAGACACCTCCATTCATGAAAAGCGTGACGTGAGCAGGTCCTCAGCGACACTGAGAGGATCCACGCCGCCCACCGACTCACAGCTCAGGTGCTGCGGGAGTCACAGGGATGCCTGCCTGTTTCCCCCTCTGTCCCTTTCTGGACGTTTCTTCCTGGTCTCTTCCTAGTTTTCCTCCCCAGGGTTTCCAAACTGACCTCCATCCCATCCTCAGAGCCGAGACGGGACCATGAATCTGAGCCGTGTCTGTTGTGAGTAATCTGATAATGATGTGAAGGTGTCTCTCCTTCTCCTTCTTGGCTGATTTGCATCTATTATCATACATGTATAAAAGAGAAGGGGCTCGTGCCGTTTGTGTATGTCTGGGGGTTTTGGTGTGTGTTCGGCAGCGGTGCTGCAGGAGTGTGTTGAGCAGTCGTGCGTCGGTGCGCGTTGGAGCTATTTTCGGCTTGGCAGTGACGCCGCTGCTGCTTTTTGATGCAGTGTTATCTGTGCCCTCTGAAGGACAGGTGATGTAGGGAAAAGCATCACTCGTCAATTTAGTTTTTTTATTTCATTCACTCAGACAGATTATTTCAATATAACCTGAAGGTTTTTCTGGGACTAATAATATTGTACACAAATCATACTCATCATGAGTGTGTCATTTAGCCTAAACGAACCCACTCTGCCTGCTTTAGTGGCTTTGCTTTTCCTCCTCCTGTTTGCACCAGACTTTTAGTTTGCTCGGCAGCTGGAAAGCTCAGAGTATGCCTACCTCTGTCCTCTGCTAAGCATGTTTATATAACTGTGGAGGATGAATAGCCAGCGGTCGGGCTTTAGAAGAGAGGAAGAGGAGGGGTGGTGCAGATTCACTCCTCCATCCTTTTTTTCTGTTTTTGAATTGGACCAAAATTAAATAAAGTCCGACTTTGAGATTTATATATGTGTGTTTCTCAGACCAGGCAGGGATCATGGAAAGCTTGGAACCACCAGGAGCACTAATGTATATTGATTTCCTGGCTTTCTGCTGTAGCAGACCCAGTCCCACTGGACTCTTATGACCCACTTTCTGCTCTTTAGCCTTGTGGATTTCCATCTTGCATCCATATAAAAAAAAATGGTGTCAGTCACAGCCAGCCTCTTGTAATATGCATGTTGGTCTGTCTCTGTTCTTGTTGTTAGCAGTCCAGGCAGACCGTCCCATTAAAACAGCACAAGGGTAGTTGTTGTGGTGGCAGCTGCTCTGGTGTTGCAGGGTTTTGTTTTCTGTGGTTGTGTGTGTGCTGTTGTCTCCTGGTCGCGTCGGGCAGACGGGCCCAGTTCACACGGAGCCGGCTCCTCTTGTGCCCTTTGTTGTCGCTCTGGGAGGCTTTCCCATCAGAGCTCGGCCAGTACAGTAATGTGCCGCCGGCAACAACAGAAGCTGCAGAAAACTAGTCATTTTTGTTTAATTTTTCATTCAGATTATTCTGCTTTAGTCTTTTTCTTGTGTTTTGGTTTCATTGGGACCAATGGTTTTCCTCGATCGCCTCTTTAGCCTTCCATCCCTTTACCTATTTCGCCATAAAGAGAGAATGCTTAAGTTGTCATTAATTACTTGAACTAAAACTACTGCCTGACCCAAAAGGATGATTTTAAACTCCTTTTATATGGTTAGCTGCTTATGCCATGCTCTAAATGTTTATGGTTCTATTTTGTGACACCCAGTCCATAAATGTCTTTGCTTTTTAGGAAATGTAAGTCTAAAAGAGTTTGGCACCGAGCATAAAGTTATTGCAAAAAGAAAGAGCAACCTAATTCAGTTTTAATGTTTTGGATACCTGAATATAATGACCAGGTCATCACCGGGTTTTTAGATAACCGAGTTTTAAGCAATTGATCACAAATTGAGAGGAGATTCAACTGTTTATTTATTTATTTATTCTTTATTACATTTGCTGAATAATCATCTTTATCACTGTAATTGAAGTCAACTGGTATTATTCCAAGTACTGGATGTTGCAGCAAATTCACCCTGACATCAAACTGTGCGATGGTTAGCAACACGGCATTAGCACAGAGCTAAATATCAGGCTGAAGAGGCCTTAACTAGAAAGGTGAAGTTTTTGACATGACATTTAGAAAAAAGTGAACAACTATTGCCTTTTTTTCCTCTGCTGAATGACTCTTCTTTTCAAATAAGTGAGTTAGAGTGAAACACAAAGCTTCCTTTAGATCGATGAGACCAAAATAAAGATGTCTGGCCACACTGGATTTGTTTCTCAGGCCCAGAACCAGGACATGTAGTCATTTCATCAGCCATAACTAGGGGTGATTACAGAAGTATTTTATCCTACATATCCCATTGCTAGAATTAGGCTAAGACTGCAGGAACAAGAAGGAGCTCAATTAATTATTATGTTTTAATGGTTCTTAAAAATTTGAAAGACTCATAAACAAACAAAATTTTGTTCAAATTATTGCTAGTTTCATAAAAAAAAACCTCCACAGAGGGGGACAGCTCTTACATTTTGAGTAATAAATTATGAAAGATTGAAATCCAAAGTGATTTTAACACATTTTGGTTTTAATTAAGATAATTTAACAGCCTAATCATTAAAAAAAAGGGAAATGAAGTCCTGGTATATAAATGTAAAAGCTTTTTCACCCAGACTGTAGTTGCTGACATTAGCCTCTGCATGGCCGTGCGATCTGGCTCTGCCTCACTCAGAGCCTGGAGAATGAAGCTGACGTGTCTTTTCTTCAGTTATTTATTTTCTCCAGTTCTGGCTGGTACCAGCTGCGGCTATTTGAGGCTCTAATCCTGTGTGTGTTCGGAGAGCTAATGATTCACAGCCTTTCTGTGTCAGACATTTGGCGGATTCCTCCAGAACATGACGTTGAATCTATCAGCTCTGACAACATGGTTTGCTAAACTCCCATCTGATCCACCTGATCAAAACAAAACAAAACAAGCAAAATAAAAACAATAACATTTCCCCCACCCGGTCTTTTGCTTTGGATTCCAGTCAAAGCATTGACCTCGTTTGTGTTTGAAATGAACCTACCGCTAAGCAGGTGTTGTAGGTGGCCTCCTTTTCTTTCCAGCCATCATTGGGTATTTAGTTCTGCACAAATGAGTCACCAGCAGGTTCAGAATAGGAAGAAAGAGGGATTATTGGGAGAGATTTTTGAACTACAAATTGCGTTTCCCACACCGGCAGATTATTCCTTTCACCTGCTTACTGTTGCTGACTCTACAGAGACAGAAAAACTGATTTATCCATATAATCAAATCAAACTAGTGACAGTCAAAACCTTTTTTCACTTCTGAATACCGTCTACTTTTTACTACTTGAACTATAGCTCTGGCCTCTGAGAATTCTGAGTATGTGGATTGTGTTTTATAACTCTGTTTACTCACACAGTGAGCAGAGGCCTTGAACGGTCCATAGTCTGGGGAAACAAGTACAGATATCAGAGTTTAGCTCTTCAACTATGACCGAGAAAAACAGACTATCACATGCTCTGTGGAGACCAGCGCAACTCTCACCATCTGTTTGTCTGGAGAGAGGAGGCGGAGCGGGACCGAAACTTTGCAGTGCAGGTATTTGTCCCAGAAATGAGCTTCAGATGTTGAGAGAAGTCAATACTTCCTATAACCATGTGACGCTGCACTCAGAGCTGCGCATCCCTGGTGTTTATAGCTCTACCAGTTCAGCACACGTTGAATTTTTCTTTGCTAGATAACTGAGGTTGTATCAGTTGAGTGGAGAGGATCTGTTTGAGTTTTAGTCTTCTAATAGATCTAGACTTTGACTGGGCCATTTTAACGTATGTGTTTACCTTGATCTAACTAGTCTGTTGTAACTCTGGTATAATGTTTAGTCAGGCTAGTTGTTTTTTTGCTTTAAATTTAGCTCAATCCTTCCTTTTAACCAACATTTTCTCATTTTACTTTTCTTTTTTAGAGCAAATAAATGATTTTACTCCAAACACCACATTGTTGTTATTAAAGCAACATTTCTGGGGCTGGTTGTGTTCAACAGCTTCATGAGTTTGGCCTTCAGCCTCTACAAAGCAGAGCACCGAATGGGATCAAGCTTGACTGCCAGCATAGGGTTAGGATTGATGCTGTGTCGACATGGTAACGCATGAACGATGAGGTGGGATAGACGCTAAATTGGTTCTTTGTTGGAGGCGCAGCTGTCACCTGAAAAGAGGTTCCCCCCATGGGTTGGTCCCAGCAGGGCTCCTACTAATGAGGAGAGGAGCCACATAGGCACAGATGCGAGCACAAATGTTATGTCTGTGGAAGTGAAGAGTCTCCATTCTGGCGTTCATACTAACTGGACATTTCAGCTGCTGTTTGTAAAGATACTACAGCCTTCCTTCCCCAGTGGATTGCTGGGAGTAGTGGGATTATTGGATCTAGCCAGACACGCCCAGGGCATGTGTGTGTGTGAACCTGATCCCCTCCCCTGCATCTCCACCAACTGCTTGGCACGAACACACTCACTTAATAAGGGATACAGTAACTGCTGCTCCCTTGAGTTAAAAGTATCTCTAATTAAAAATTTCCAACCCATTAAGCAGGAATTTGCCTTTTAAAAAAAGAAAAATGTTTCTAAATAATCTTCAGAAATCTGGATGTGTTTGTTTGACTCTGTCTCTGTAACCCTGTGGAGGGATTAAAGGATCAGCTCCTGATAATTTCTCCCCCTCTGTCCCTCCCTATCTGGCTGATTCTCTATAATATTCATCCTGCTTAGGTGGTGCATCGTGTCCTCCTCTGAACCAATATCCATGCTTTTTAAACTCTGCTTTTTAATCATCATAAAGCGGCAGTTTGTGTCCCTGTCTCAGTCACGCTGTCTTTCGGAAAGTCCTGTAAATAAATGACTAAGTAAATGAAACCCTCTCCATCAGGCTCACAGATCTTCCATTAGAGATTGATGAAAGGCACCAAGAGGTTTCTTTCCTCCTCTTGGTGTCAGGAAACAGACATAAGAGGTTGGGAGGCATCTGCGCTCTGTGGTCATTAATCAGCCGAGATAATTGTAGAGTTTCAGTTGAGCTACAGGGGTTACCGTACGTCTTTATGCCGCTGCCCGGCCAACCACATCCACCCACTGCAGGGTCAACGTCAGAAGGCCAGCTATGAGGATTGTCTGCGAGGTGGAATTACACCGCCGGTCCTCGACTCGCACGGTTCGTTTGTCTCTACTTTGGTAGGGATGGATTTATTGGATACCTGAGAGAGCGTTCTCTCCTTCCCCTGCACTCTCAGCAGGCTGCTTCCACAAACGCCTGCATTATAGATGAGCTTCTGGCAGCTGCCACACTCTCACAGCGCTCAGGTTACCCCCAGTGGATACACAGAGATATACTACATGGGTTTGCACAAACATGCAAACATTAGCTACACTAGTGCCCATAAATCTTCACGTAGCTTCCAAAAGTCAATATTTCATGTATTCGGATAAATTGGTCTTTGACATTTTTCTCTGGACATCTGAAAGCTTTTATTAGCTGCTTATTAAAATCACTTAAAAGAAAATTAGAAAGTCTGTCTGTTGGAAGTAAGATTAAGTGTAGTTTCTTTTGTATTATTTTGTATTGGAACTACTAATTTTTTTAAGTTATCCTTTTAAGGGATGACCTTGTCCATTTCAAAATGTTTTTAAAGATATATAATCTAAATTTGTAGGCAGATGTCCAGTTCTTATAGCAGATTCTGTCTTATCGTGCCGCACTGTTGTTTGGGACATCAGAGCAGCATTTAAAATATGTTTTAGTTCTCTTCCTACCACAAATAGTCAATAATTGTTAGCTTATTAATGATTAATGTTGACATATTGTGAGAAAGCAGTTGCTCTAAAAAAGTGATTTTTACTAATTTAAAATGACAACAATTTACAATTTTTAACTTAGATTGCTGACTAGCAGTGGTAACAATGCTAAGCAGTTATGTCAAAGGTTCTCCTCAGGAGAATGTACTTTTTCTTAATGCTAACATTTCCTAAAGGCGGCCAACTTTCCCAAATTTAACAAGCTTGAAAACCGTAAAGGATAAAAATGTGCAGCTGTTCTATTTTTTTGTTCAGCCTTCCTGTTATTCGTTGAATGTCTTGCTCTCTCTTGAGCTCACTAACTGCCTGATTGAACTGCAGAAAGGCATCACCATCATTAAAAATACAGTTTTGCTTTAAATAGCCTCATAGATCTAATTTCAAACAACTCCCTGTTAGTGAAATTAGCTATGATTAAGTGATTTTCAATCCGTAACGTACTTCACCAAAGAGTGTTGATATCAGTAGCACTTTGAATGCGGTTTTCATCTGCTCCTCAATCAAGGCCGATAAACCTGAAAATTATCACCATGTTTGAGTCATGAGTGAATTTCTCTCTTTCAAACTATCATTGGGTTGCAAAAGTTTAACTTTTTTTATTTGTACAAAGATCCTGCTGTTTTACAGGTGATTACTAAATAAACCACGCAGTTTGTAAAATGTTAAAAGCCACAGTGGTCAACAAGTTTTATAGAATTTTTTTTATTTCTGGCACCTCCTAGAGGCATTGATTGAAATAAAAACACGCTGACATGAAGTCTTACTGATGAATCTGGCCTGAGGTCATGAAGTTAAAGAGCAGAAAGAATGAAAGCTATGTCATCTATATTTTTGCTTTCACAGTGCAGCGGTTACTATTTAATAGTCCTAACCTGTAATTAAAGATCCAACATTAATCATGACTAAGAATTTAGGAGACATATTTTATGAAATCTCTTTTAAAATCTTTCCATCCTTATTCTCAATTCTAAAACCAGCAGTTTTTTAAATAATTTCTTTTATAAAGGCAAAAAAAGAATGCTATCCATACCAACCTGACCCTATGTTAACATTTGATTAGCTTAGTAGTTAAATTATGAATTATCTTTTATTCACCTCATCTTTCAGATTTTCCTCTCACACCTAGGCCTGGTTACAGCCTGATCTACAGAACTCCCTGAAAACATGAAGTAGGCCAAAAGCAACACTTAATTTTCCAACGTAAGTCACTGGCAACTATCAACCTGGAATAGGGGACAATGCCATTTCAATTGCTTTGAGACGCCGGTGCACCACAGTGAGAGGCATCATCCACAAATGTAGAACACATTGAGCAGTTGCTACCAAAACCAATCAAACATCACGACTCATATAGGAGGTTACACAGAGGAACCCAGGTCTGAAGCGCTGCAGGTCACTTTAGGTCAGCGTTCGTGATGCAACAATAGGAAAGAAACTGCTCAACAATAAGGTTCTAGTCTACAGAAAGAGCACACATGTATGTCTCCTGTTTCTAAGATTATCTTGAAAATCAGAAGATTATCTTGAAAACCGAAAGCATCATGCCTCCAGTCAGACCTGGTGGCCTAGGGCTGTTTTTCTCTTTAAGCAAAGCAATGATGACTCTTAATTTTCCTCCCAACCAGTAAATCCTAAAGGAGAATGTCCCACCTGTAGTTCCTGGCCTGAAGCCTAAAAACAGCGTTTGTGCGACGGATCAATGGTCTGAATAAATAACCGAAATTCTACCTCTGGTTAAACAAAAAACAAAAACAACAAAGGATTGTTTTGACCTTAAACAGGCCACTGTTAATAAAAAAAAAATGAATGTGGTTTAATTAAAACAGTTCTATGAAGAGTCGCTGATATTCCTCAAAGAAACCTCAATTTTTTATTCTGAACAGGAGTGACCCTCTTTTGTTAAACTGATGGTTTTGCTTCTGAAGGTATGTGTGGTGCTGCTCTACCACAGAATCTACGGTAAGCAGAGAGAGTGGGCCGTGTGTGCCAGATGTCTTTTCTCTCAACCTTTAACCCTTCTGTTACCGGTCAGGGATCCCAGGAAAGCCCCAGTCTTATCTGTATCTGCGTGCAGCTGCTCTGATCTAGCTGTTTGCTTTAGGTTTCCCTGAACGCTATTGTTTGTATTTAGAATTCTGTCTCTCTTGTGCTCATCATTTCTGCCATGTTTGCACGTCATTGCCTGAAATGATGACCATTAGTGTAATCTCTCTCAATCCCCGATCTGTGAAAGAGGATGAGAGGATTGAGTTTTTGTTTGTAAAAGTAATTTTCTGACATTGCAGCAACATCTGTAAAAAAAATGTCTTTACAATTTAATGAAGCTATTGTTTTTTTGGTTTTCATTTTTATTCTGCAGGTGTTTATCAGCATCCAGAGAAACCAGTGCGTTAGGACGCATCCCTCCCACTGAAACGCGGCTGCCCACTCACATGCACGACACCATGGGCAGCTCCCCAGAGGTGCTTTCCTGGACTTCCTGCCCCAGTCTTTTGGTGGGGAAGCTGAAGGAAGAGCTTAAACTCACTGTGGTTGGGGACAACATGAAGAAATCCAACTCTCCTAACGCGCAGCCTCATCCTCCTCAGGCCTTGCCTCCTACTTTACCTCCTCAGATCATCACAGACCTCGCCCCGCCGACGAACCTGCCCGTTCCCCTGCACACGCCCGGCCAGGATGAGGACTCCGTTTTGGGGGGCATCAGCCCAGGAAACATAGCCCTGAGTGTGGATTCAACGCGGAGTGAAGGTGGACACTTCGATAACAGCGTGCTTCAGCTGCAGGAGCAGGAGGAAGCGGGTTCACCTGCTTCCTGTGAGCACGGTGGCTGTGGGAGTGGCATGGATGAGCAGGGAGAAGGAGACTGTCCGGTTGACCGAAGCGAAGATGGGAGGCCGAGCCACCCGCGGCACCCCGACGACATCAAGCTGCACTTCCAAAGAGCCGGGCCTGGGTCTGGAGGCTTCCTGGAGGGCCTGTTCGGCTGTCTTCGACCCGTCTGGAACATCATTGGGAAAACTTACTCCACAGAATACAAGCTGCAGCAGCAAGGTTTGCTTTTGGTTTCATCTCTCCACACGGTGTCGGTTTAACAAACTAAATCCTCGCTGTTTAATTAAAAGGCTTTGGCTCTTCAACTCTTCTGAGAAACAATCAAACGGTTCTGTCCTGTAATGTACTCCTGAAACTGTAACTGAATATCTGTCCCCAGCTGTAGTCTGAGGCTGCTGTGCTTCTGTCAGTTAGAATTAAGGTCATGGGTAAAGGTATATTCACCTTGCTGCGGGGCTGCCTGCTTAGACTGGATGCTCACAGTAAAGATATGCGTCGAGGTCGAATGAGCTGAAGCTTTCATTGGTTCAGCAGTGGGCTAAAAAGAGGCAGCATAACTTCTCCTGGTCAAAACTGGTTGTAAAGCAGCAGATAGAGGGAAAAGGCAGCAGTGCATCCTGCAGGATCTTAGCTTTGTTTTTGCTGCACAGCTTAGTTGCAAACAGTTCACAGAAATAGTCCCGCTTTATGAAGATGTCATTTTCAGATTTTCGGGATGAGTGCTACAATACTATGTTCGGTGGAAGGCAGTTCCTGTAAGTTACTTAGTGTCAGAGGGGGGACACCCTGCTGATTTCAGCTCATCCATGGACACCTTAAAGATAAATCTATTTATTTTTTTATTCTGCGTTTGTTGCTCCTCAAACACCCTAATGCCACTCTGCGCAACTTTCAATGTTACCCGAATCCCAAGCAGCTGTAACGATAACTTGATTAAATGCATGTTTTTTGTGGTTTAAAAGAAAGTAATGTGATAATACGACTGTAGTAGGATATTTCCCACCTTTATGGGACCTAGATCCTGCAAAACAGAAAAAAGCAGAAACGAAACTTTAAATTCTCTTCGCACTTAACTATATTATAATGAATTTACTTTACTTTAAAATAAAGTTAGATTTCCCTTTTTATAATGCAGTTACAAGCACGGTTTGTCATTAAGTTGCAAAGGATCTCAACAGAAAGATGATCTGTTTGAATGGTGCAGTGAAATCTTACACCTTCAGATGCATACAGTAAAGGAAAAATAAAGCCATTTAAATAAGAGAACGCATAATGAATTGGTGACATTACAGCAGCATTTTCTTTTTACAAATGTTTTGATAACTTAAGATATGAACCAGTCAGACAGGCTGCCAAAAAGCCTGATGTCGACTACTGATCAGCCTAGTTAATGGAACTATGGAGTGCAGTATGAAAGAACCAAGCTGGAACATTCAGGATCATTCTGGTGCAAAAATGAGAAAGATGATCACTAAACCGGAATGTTTGGTAACAAAATGCTGCAAGGTTTGGATTTTTTTTTTGCAAATAGAACTGAAGTTTTTCCCAAGGATGAAAGAGGATTGAATTATGACCATTGGCAAATATTAAGAAGTTTTTACCTTTAACAAGTAAATAAAGATGTAAACTGAGCGTCTACAATCAGTGCTAATCCAAGCATACATTCAAATCAATAAGTTAAAAAACATGTTAGCAGACCTTAAAATATGATAAAAATATGGCAGAGTGACAGGTCAGGTTATTTAACAATTGAACTGGTTAATTAAATGATGTCATAATGATTTATCATGGTCTGATGGAGCGCTTTCTGTGTGTTTTCTTTAAATATATAAGATTAGTATAAAGATTCTCTTCCTCTTATAACAAAAGATAGACTAGCTTATTTAAGATTAAATCAGAACAGAACAATAAAATGCGACTGATCTTGTGGCAGACATGTGGGAGGTCCCGTTTGAGGAGATTTCCGAGCTGCAGTGGCTGGGCAGCGGCGCCCAGGGAGCCGTCTTCCTTGGCAAGTTTCGCTCCGAGGAGGTGGCCATCAAGAAGGTGCGGGAGCAGAAGGAGACGGACATTAAGCACCTGCGAAAGCTCAAGCACCCCAACATCATCAGCTTTAAGTGAGCTCAAACAGCAGGACTTCTTACCTGTTACCCTGATGCTGTTTTTTTTTTTTTTACTCATTCTCTTTTTTTGTCCCAATCAGAGGGGTGTGCACCCAGGCGCCTTGTTACTGCATCATCATGGAGTACTGTGCACAGGGTCAGCTGTATGAGGTGCTGAGGGCTGGGAGGAAGGTGACCCCCAGGCTGCTGGTGGACTGGGCCACAGGAATCGCAGGTGGCATGAACTACCTGCACCTACACAAGATCATCCACAGAGACCTCAAGTCTCCCAAGTGAGTCTCTGGTTTAAATGCTGTTATTACATGAGAGGATAGACATCCTCCTCAAGGTTTTGCTGTTTTACTCTAAACTTGATCAGGTTTCCAATGCAGTCTGGAAATGATGGGGTTTTATTTTAGGGTTTTAGAGTTATAAAATAGTCTAAATAGAAAAGCTTGTATTTAATCCCTTCGGCTCTCTTCAGTTTGACATTTCCTCAAATGTTACACTTAATAAAAGCAGGCCGCTCCTCCCCTCCTCCTCCCTCTGTCTCATCCTCTGCAGTCGTGCCTGCAGCTCTGTCTCTCTAATCAATATCATCATGCTGCAGCAGAAAACACTGTATTAGTCAGCAGAATGATGGCTGGCTGAAAGCTCTGTAAAAAGGTCAGTCTCATTTAGCTAATGGGATGATTCAGGAATGCTTTTCACAAGAAAACACTTCAGTATACCACAAAAAAAACAAGATACGGTTCTTTAAATTCAGCGAGAGAAGAAGCTTTATTAACAAACTGCATCGTTAACAAAAAAAGAAAACAAACAAAAAACTGCTAATAATGCTGCTCCTTCTGTGTTTCAGTGTTTTAGTGACCCACAACGACACTGTGAAAATTTCTGACTTTGGAACGTCCAAGGAGCTCAGCGATAAAAGTACAAAGATGTCATTTGCGGGTACGGTGGCGTGGATGGCCCCAGAAGTCATAAGAAACGAGCCTGTGTCAGAAAAAGTAGACATCTGGTGAGCAGCAACCCACTCCTCTTTTTGAATAAAATAGCATCTAATAAAGTGATTTATCTAATACTGCAGTTTTTCTGAACCTTATCAGGAACTGAGTCTCCATCCTTGTGTTCTGCAGGTCATTTGGAGTTGTGTTATGGGAGCTGCTCACAGGAGAAATTCCCTACAAAGATGTGGACTCGTCCGCCATCATTTGGGGCGTTGGTAGCAACAGCCTACACCTTCCTGTCCCCTCTACCTGCCCAGACGGATTTAAAATCCTCATGAAGCAAACATGGTGAGTGTTGACTTTACTCTGACAGCTGCTTGCAGGTTTTACTCCACGACAAATCAACCCCATTCAACATTCTCCTCAAATCCAGGCAAGGGAAGCCGAGGAACAGGCCTTCGTTTCGTCAGATCCTCCTTCATCTCGACATCGCCTCTTCTGATGTGCTGGGAACTCCTCAGGAGACCTACTTCAAATCTCAGGTTTGCATTTCAGACGAGATTCCTGCATACCTGGTATTACTGTGTGCACCTGTCCTCTCGCAAGCATCTTGGAAAAATGTTTGTTTGCTGGAAGATTTTCAGTTTTTTTTTAAACTTCTTTTGTTTTATACAGGAAATTTCATTTAAAAAGTAGCACAGTATGGAAAATTAGCCAGTCAGTCCTCCTTGGGCAATACTTTTTATATTTCTAAACATTTGAGCACATAAACACAATATTCTGTCCCTCCTGATGAAAAAACAGCGTGTTGGTCAACAGTAGCTCCTCTTCTCTAAAGGCCAGATTTAATGGTTTGGTACGGTGGTCTTCCTTTTTAAATGGATGCCCTTCTGTTAGGTTCGTATTTGTGCCTTTCTCTTCTTGTTTTTAATTAACAAATTAAAAAGTGCTCTGTGAGACGTTCAAAGGATCACCAGGCTTATTTCTCACCTGGCTTATGTGCCCCTTCTTCTTCATGATGCCGTTTATTCCAATAAAACAAAGTTCCACCTTTTTAGTAACGAGGGAACATCGGATGATAAGTGATTGTGCTGAATTTTGGATATCAAGAAAAGAATAGAATAGAAAATGCCTTTATTGTCACACAATGGGGAAATTGTGGTGTTTACAGCAGCAAAAGGTTACAGTAGAAGTACTCACACAATGTGCATCTTAGAAAAGAGTATAACAAATAACAGATAGGAAAGTAGAAACAAATAGAGTATTGTACAGTGTTTTTACAATATCAATACTCTGCATCTGGGGAATAGATGGGGTCTTTCTGCGCACATTCTTAATTTTTTGGGGATTTTTCTCAACTTTGTTATGGTGGATGACTTGGTTTTGTCTGCAGCTATTTCAACTCTATGTGTCTCACTCCATCTTGGTTACAGGCAGAGTGGAGGGAGGAGGTGAAGAAGCATTTTGAGAAGATCAAAAGTGAAGGCACTTGCATCCACAGGCTGGATGAAGAGCTGATCCGCCGCAGGAGGGATGAACTCAGGTCTGTCAGCAAAGGCGACCATGAATTAGAAGGTAAACAGGAGACGCCAGTTTATAGATATTATACTAAATTATTATTATTATTTTGCCCTGCCAGGCATGCTCTGGACATCCGGGAGCACTATGAGAGGAAGCTGGAGAGAGCCAACAACCTGTACATGGAGCTCAGTGCCATCATGCTGCAGCTGGAGGTCCGAGAGAAGGAACTGATGAAGTACGTTGATGTTGTTTCCTTACAATAAGGCTTTACTGGCTGATACTACATCAGTGTTTCCAGAGTTCATTCCTGTGATGCTGCTTTGCAGGCACAACTCTAAATATTTGTTCTGTAGTTTCATCGTTTTTGTTCCCTGCATACAGTTTTCATTCTTATCCTGTAAGGCGACTGTTTTCAGGGGAAACTAATCAATCTTGTTTTGTCTCTCTAGAAGAGAACAGGCAGTGGAGAAGAAATATCCGGGCAGCTACAAACGTCACCTGGTCCGGCCCATCGTCAGGTCCAACGCTGTGGAGAAGCTCATCAAGAAAAAAGGAAGCATCTCACACAAACCTGGAATGCCGCAAACTAAAAGGTCTTGTTTGAATCCACCATGATTTTTAAACCATACTTGACACACACACAAAAAAAAACATTTTAAATTTTCAAAAAACAGTTAACCCAAAGAAATCACTTACAGGTTTTAATGCTGACAAAAGACAACCCCCATAAACTCACCGACAAACAAAATAAGCCAAACATGTCATTTTAGTTAACCTCTGTAACTATTTGTTTTTATTCTTTTAAGTTTCTTTCTTTTCTGACAAGATACAAATAATTATTTACATTTAAACTTTTCCATCTTATAGATCCAGGACAGCTTATTAATGTAAGGAATTAATCAAATGCATAACGTTAAAGCTGATAATCTAGTATTATTTATCAATTGAAACAGCAGCAAAAATCTGGTCTTGTAAAGGTAGTAAGCAAATTGTTATTATGAATCTATAAAGGCTAAAACCAGCTGTGTTCTTATTATCACCACCTGCTGGACTGCAGGTATATTGCAGTTTATCTCAGGCTGATTTAATTTAATTTATTTAACTTATTATCTTAAGGCATACGGTGGTCTTTAGAGGAAAAGAGGCTTATCATAATATTAACCTTTTGCTATTTTAAGTTCAGTGTTTCCCTGAGGTTCACAAATAACAAACCTACAGCTCTATAAACCACAAATTAATGGGAAAAACACTTGAACATTTAAGTAAGGCAGCGGTTTGGGGATTTAATAACTGTAATTTAATAACTGCAGAAAGATCATTGAGTTTGAATGTCAGCATGTACACATATTAATGGTCACATGTTAAGACCCCAAATGATTCTACTTGCTCCGGTAATGAGCTCCTGATCTTAAAGGTTGAAAAAGCTCAGATCCTTCACACTAATCTTTTGCTACGAACTAATTAAAGTCGAGACTTTAATAAAACAAGAATAATAGTTCCAGTCAGAAAAAAAAAACATAAGAATAATTGAACTTTATTGATCTCACATTTGAGAAATTTACCTCTGCATTTAACCCAGCAGTGGGCTGCCATCGTGGGGCGCCTGGGGAGCAAACAGGGGTTAAGGGTCTTGCTCAGAGACCCAGAGTGGCAGACTGTGGTAATGGGGCTCGAACTCAGGATTCCAAGCTCTATCATCTAGCCACTA